GGCACAGCGCCTGCCTGGCAAGCACAGGATCCTGAGTTCAATTCCCGGCACACAAAAAAAGTAGGAAAGTCAGTCTTCTCTCTCAATCTCTTCATTCTGTGTTTCAATTCAGTATTAAACCTGTGTTTCATGTCTGAGGGTGTAACTGAGTGGCAAAAGACCTAAGTCAAACCTCTGGATTTCATCCAGAGGTTTTTCATCAAAAACAACGAAACAAAAACAAACCAAACTAGCCAACCCCGGCTTCACTTAAGGACTTTGCCAGTTGGATTCAGTGGCTCCTATCTGGTGCGGTTAATTGGTATAAATGATTGAGGATGTAATGTTCATACTGGATCTCTGAATTTAGAGTTAGTGTTAGTTGTGGGAGTTACTTTAAAAAGGCTAATATAATTGAAATTCAACACTTATTTAAGATGTTATTTATAACTATTGTTTCTTGAGTTTTGTGTTGTGTGCCAGATCTTATGCTGGCAGTTGAGTGCTTATTACAATCTTTTTGTAAGCTGTGATTTTATTTCATGGGGTGAGGAAATTTAAAGTAGGGAATATGTCCTTGATCTCATAACAGAATTAGGTTTCAGACTCTTTCCCTTACATTGGGTTATGGATGATCTTAAAGAGCTCTGATCATTTCTTTTTAGTTTAAGTTAATACATATATAAATTTTTCCTCCTTAGTTTTTAGAGTAACTTCTCAAAATTTCAAAATTATGTTGAAGTCATTTCCAACAAATTAAGAGGTGACCTTATTTTTTAGATGAAGGTAATGGAAAAATATTGGATTTCTTTATTTATTGAGGCAGAGTCTCATAGAGTTCAGGCTGGCCTTGAACTCACTGTATGGCCCAGGCTGCCCTTGAAATGGCAATCCTGCTTTAGCCTCCTGAGAGCTGAGATCACAGTCAAGTTCTGGAATGACAGGCAAGTGCCACTATGACGGTACAATATCCAAAATTACAGTAATACTTTTTCTTTCTATTTTGAAAGAAATTGAGTATGTGTGGCTGATTGAAAATGAGTGCAGTCAAATACAGTATGCCTAAAACCTTAGTTGTGACATTTTTCCTACTCTGTCCTCTCTGTAGCCCAAGAGCTACAGTGTAGAGTTAGTGTGGTCAGCTGAGTTTTATCAGGCAAAAATGTTAATTCAAAAAGCTTTTTTCCTGACTCTAAAATTAATGGGGATTGAGCTATGTGATTTTATATGTGGCCTTTTTCCTAACAAGATGTGACCATACTGTAAAATAATCCTTCAGAATTTTTGTTTAGACTCCATAAGGCTTCAATTTCATCAATACAGTGCAATTTATTTTTTTCTGTTGTCAGATGTTTGTTTTGTTCCGAAATGTAGAAACAATGATAAACACTCTAGTGCTATATAAATCCTTGTGTTTTTTCTTCCCTCCCTCCCTTCCCTCCCTCCCTTCCTTTTGTGTTGCAGATTGAAAGGGAGCCTTGTTATTGTAAGCACTACGTGCTCAACCTCTGAGCTGCACACTCAGCCACAATTCTGATTGTTTTCTTAACAATGATTCTAGAAAGTAAAAGAAATTAATCATAGCATATGAACATACCCTAATGTACAATTTAAAAGACATCTTTCCAAATTTATTTTACAGCTGAGTTCTTGAGGATTAGAGTCTGTTCTTTGTGTATGGTGTATGAGCAGGTGGGAAGTTATGCTGCACTAGCTGACCTCTCCCTTGGAGCTGCTTCTGCCTGTGACTGTGGTTACTCAATTTCTTAAGACGGACGAAAACTTAAGAATTCTATAAAGAAGTGGAGGCAAGTACTGTAATACACCTTGTCAAGTTGCTAATGTTCTCAGGTATTGAAACCCGATTTAACTTCAGAGTATGGATCCTATATAATACTTTTTCTATTTAATCTCAGTCTTTTCTTTGTAACTTGTAGGAAAGAATTCCATAATCCAACTTTTCATTACAGTGTTATGACATGCAGTTGTAGATTAATCATCTCTCCACTTTGCTGATAAATGAAGACTTTTAAATTTAAAAATTCTTGACTTTTTTGGTAACTATTTGGGAATAGTTGCCGTTTAGTGCTTGTACAATACTAAGTAACTACTCGTTAGATTTGCTTGTGATTTACCGTTATCCTGATTTTCTTTTAAGAGTTTTAGTCATTGGAATTTTTTTCTTTGGTTAGTTGGGATAACATTACTGTAAAATACAGTATGTTAATTAGTTTCAAAAGTTGGGATTCAAATCCTAGAGGCTAGTACTTGGAGGGAAATATTAATTAGGACTGGCACACATTAATGGAGCAATTTAATTGTTATGGTTCAGCAAGCAGTGTTTCTTAGAATTGTCTCAACTGTCC